TTTTTACGAGTGTTATGTACAATTTACGAAAATCACTGTAGCACTGTAGCAGGTTACTGTAGTACTGTTCATATCGTATTTCACAGTTCATAAACACGTTTTTATCTCAAAATTTTATACCAAACACAATTGAATAATATTTGATTGTATTTTCTTAATATAAATTCAAATGTTCAGTTATTTTACAAGAGTAAAAGTTTTGAAAATGTCAATGTGACATCTCGGACTCGTATCCAGGTCGGGTATGGGTTATGGTGTTACATTATCTGTATCCCAGAGTTGGTAGAACTCATCTCTATTCTATTGTTTATATATACTCATCGACTATAACATTGATATTCTATTTTACACAACGTATCAGCCAAGTTGGCCTACCAACGACGAGTGAAGTGTTTAAAAACGATGACCATTAGCTTTCCAACCACGAAAACACTATTCGCATACAAAAACATATGACAACGGGATCATCGACCCCATTCCCTGTTTTGTTTTGACATCTACAGATCGAAAGCTGTATAATGCAATTAAGTTTATCTTGAATCTCTCCCCTTCACACATTTTACGGTTCCCATTCTCGTCCTTTTCTTATGGATCCTTGAAAACCCAATGGAATAATAACATAACAAATACTTGAAAGAAGTGAAAATTTAGAATCTTGGGATTTTCCAACGTTTACATTATGTGGAATCTAGACAACAAGACATGAAATTACGACCCCTTTTCTTAATCCCATCAAAATTGTCCTCGGTGAAAGAGGTTTAATAGTTAGGCAAAAAGTTTTCTCCAAGGAAATAACTATAGCTTAACTACCCTATTAATATAGGTTAGATACATATAGTCTATAAATAATGTTGAGAATTGGAGGAACCGATTTTGCTGTCTTTTATTTGATCACATGTCAAAGACCCAAAGAAACTCTGTTGCTTGTTTATGTTAAGTGAAACCTAATCGTCGAGCCAAAAAAAAGCTGTAGGATCAAAATGTTAAAATATTTTTTCTTCCAGTTGTACTCATGTTTTTGTTTTCTTCTTGAACACTTTTGTTGCACTAGGTGCCAGTGCCACACGGTGGTCGAAAATTGTCCACCACTATGGGCTTTCTCGTTCAAGATAGCATCTTCCATGTCCAAGGATGTCTTACATAGCAAATGACAGGGTTTTTCTAAAAACAAATTCATGCAACATTTCAATCGAAATGTTTATCGATGTTAATCATTTAAATTAATTAATAATACTATAGATATAAAGAGATAAAATTATGTTAAATTAAAAATTAAATCCTAAATCTGAGTTATAGTATGGGACAAAAGCATCATTTTTACCAAAATGAAATAGAAATAATTTAATTATTCTTTTGTTAAGGTTTGTTTTTTTATTAAAAGAAATTAATCTGTGTTGTTGACTTTTTAAAGGATAAGGTTGAGTTCGGGTAACGTTTAGAGTGAAAAATCTTGGGTCCAAAATAGTAGTATAATCATCCTTTATATTGAGAATTATTGCAATAATATTTCTTTATTTATGTATGAACCAATTTACCTTGGTGGTTAAAGGAATCGTTGTTCTTCCTAGAGATCATGGGTTCGAGCACCAACGATTGTAGCAGGGTGATTGAGCGTTCATTGTCAAATGGTTGAAAGTATTTAGAACATATAATATTTTGTAATCATCTTAACTTAATATAACAAGTAGTGAGAGAGATGAAGGTAAACATGGCAGATGGGCTGATGAAGGTTCCTGTAAGTGGGATGGAGAATATGACAAGGCTCATTGTTTATCAACTATTATGGTGTATGGGGACTTATTATATCTTCTATTGATCTTCTCTACAAACAAATTTGATGTAGGGGTAATGTACCCTCAATTGATTGTGGATTTAGGAAGGAAGCAAAACAACCTGCAAGCAAGTGAATGGCTCAAACAAAGTGGCTTGGTAGTTGATGTAGGTGAATATGGTAGACTATTTTGATGGTAATGAAGATTTGGTTAAGTGTTGGAAGTGTGGTGGTTTATGAAAGAATGGTTATGGTGTAGAGATAGTATCCTTAGAAAGACTATAAGGAGAACCAATGCTAAAGAGCAGAGACCCTTCCTCAATATGCTTTCAAAAGGGGTGGTAAAAAGGACTTGGACCCACTAGATAGTAATCTAGGAATCACAAATTTCAAATGGAAAAAGATGGACGCCACAAGTATAAAAATACTTGATAAGTCGATAAAAGTCACAAAGAACTTGAGAAAAGAGAGAAATCTCACTTTAATTAATTATAAAAATTGTGTGTTTACAAGGAAAATGACTTAGCTTATTTATAAGCTTTGAAAGGCATGGCTGAATGGTTACAAGAGGTTTCAGCCAACCTTGTATCCCTTTGAAAAGTCATAATTTAATTAGTTACATGCATGAATAAAAGGTGTGATGTTTCGGCTGGATGGGAGAGACATAACCCTTCGTCGAATGATGCTTGAACCTCTTCAAATTGGCGCCTAAATGAAGTAACATGTGCTTTGGTCGAATGGTGAGGTTTCTTGATGTTTGGCGTGCCTAGAGAGTCCATACGCATAGCACATGCTTGTTGGTCATATAATATGCACATGGTGCTCTAGGATGTTTATGGTGAGGCCTTGAACATGTGATGAGTTGTGGGCAGCATAAGCGTGAGGTAGTCTTCGTCCAAGCTTGTGTAAGCGTAAAACTAGCTTAATCAAATAGGGGCTGGTTTGTGAGTGAGCTTTCTAGCCGTGATCTTCTAAGCTCCTTAGCATTACTTTCAGCTACTTTCAGCTGCCCATGTTGTCACTTTTAGCAACTTAGGTTCAAATGACTTTTATAGCTTGGTTTAGCTACATGTTAGCTCCTCCAGCTGAATTGAGCTTTCCATAAGACTCCATGAGTTGCTTGAATCCCTTTGAGCTGATTGTGAGCTACCAATGAATGTCAAATACTCCACCAAGCTGTCATTATGTGTGTCGTCCTTAGATGTACCTACATGTGCAAAGAAAACAAGGTAAATCAAAGTGATTGAGCTGGAATGAATGCAAATGCATGCTGCCATGTGTGAATACATGCTTGTGAGCTAAAGAATGACATTATGAGCTAAGTTAAGATGATATTATATTAAGGAGATAATATATATGACTTGTGAGCTGAATTGAATTGAATTGAAATGAGATAGGAAATAAAGGATTAACATGCTGCCAATTCATGAATGAAATGAAACCTATCTAAATGAATGTAAAACTAATATGAATCAATAACATACTTAATAATGAGTTGAAATAACATCATGCAGCAAGTAACATAAATATGTGATTAAAATAAACTAGTTACTTAATTCATAAAATACATAATTACTCTAAACATGAATTGTTCACCATATGTTAAAGGATGGATTATGAAGGTAAAGATGATCAGAATAATATAAAAGAATATAAAATTTAAGAGGTCTCCCTTGAGTGCTAAGGAAAGGATGGGTGTAAATGGTGAGAACGAGCTTGCATCAAAATTTGGAATAAAAGAATCCTTTGAAGTAGAGATAAAGTTGGAATCCTAACTTGAGAAGGATAGAGCATAATTTTTTTAAAAGTAGGGGGAGAGAATTCATAATTATTCCATAAACATTTAAATTTTATATAAGTATAAATTAAAGATAAAAAAATTCCCAGGTTGGGGTCTCAATCCCACTCTATGATTCTAAAGTCTCATGATATACAACAAGTTATTTTTTGTTAACAAGACTTTTGATATAATTATCGACAAACCCATGAATCTGTCGAATCCAAATCTATTATCAATAGACATATTTATTTAACCTACCAATATAATGGTCTTAGGCTTAATACTGGTAATAAGAACCGCTATAAAATCTTACATCCAAAATTGAGGAAAAAAATTTCATCTTCTACCTCATTTTTACTCGATATATTTAAGAATCGGATAATATTAATCATTTACAACTCAATCATAAATAAATGACTATGGTTCTTTGTTTAAATCAAAAAGTAATAAATTGTAGGAAGCAACGTGACTTTGAATTTTTTTTTTTTGAACAATGACAACTGAATTTTATTAATAATAGAATGAATTAAATTACAACGTATCAGAATAAAGAGATAAATTTGGAGATAATAGTTATCATAATACTCAAACAAAAGTAAATAATAAATCTAAAAATACGAAGAAAATTAAAACCTTCCATTGAGAATGACGACCAATATCGAAACCCAATAACCTTCATACAAACTATTTATCTCTGTTTTATGATACACTTGACAAAATGATAAAAGAGTGGAGAGCAAACCAAATAATTTGACAGGTTTTTTTACTATACAATTTTAATAATATCGACAAACAAATTTTTAATCGTAATCACAGACTAACCGACTATATATGATTTTGAATTTTGAAATACATGTAAGATGCTCAGCTAAATCCATGGGTTTCGTCCACATATATTAATATCTTTCCTTCTTTTCTAGAAGCTACCAAAAGAATGCCGCTCAATCCCAACGTTTTCATATTGAGGAATCGGCAAAAACCACTAAGCGTTCACACGCACAGAACCAACAAGAGGAAATAATACATATTTTAGTCCTTGTACTATACTTAAATTATTAGCTTGGTGTTTCTGTCATATTACTCCTTATACAATCATTCCGTCCCAACGTTGTCCCTTTATAATTTTTAATTAAAGAAATACACAATAAAATAACACATAAAAATGACAGTACATAGGGTAAACTGATAAAAAAATTTGTATAGTTACCAATATAACAATTAGTTATAGAACAGGTACCAAAAAGGGCATTAACCCAAACAATCCGCCTCGTGACGTATTCGCTGATGCAAATATTGCCCTAGCTATCCCGCGTGCAAACAGGTGAAGACTCCACGTGTATATTTCATCTTCATGGTATAAGAAACACGATACCCACACGAGATTTGACCTTGATTTGGAATTCACAGATCCTATAAATAACGCTCCATAGTTTTATATTTTTCTTGTATTGTGCTCGTTTGATACAGTTGTTCTTCTTCTCTTTTACTGAGTTCTAAGCAAACTTCTGGTTAGTTTCCGATTTGAATTTGATCATACTATGGCCAGTCAATCCTCCAAGGGATCCATTTATGACTTCACTGTTAAGGTTGGTTTCGGGTACAATTTCAAATCTATGCTCCATAGATGAATTTTGATATTTCTTTTATTTATTTTTTTTATTTTTCCTAAGATATGGATTTTGTTTTTGTATTTTGGCTCTTCAGGATGCAAGAGGAAATGACGTTAATTTAGGCATTTACAAGGGCAAGGTCCTGTTGATTGTCAATGTTGCATCTCAATGGTACCCTTATAACCATTTTTTTCAAACAGAAGATACTTTTTCATTAGATTACATATTTAGATTGTGAGGCTGCGAATTTATTGAGTGGTGTGTTATTAATGGTTAAGCAAAATTATGAAGAGATACTATATTATATCACCTCAGATTATTTTTAATAAATTATGAGGCTGCAGTTTGGCTTTTTATGTTTAACTGCTAATGCCTGGACAGTTTTTGATTTGCTACTTAAATGTTGATGCAGTGGCTTGACCAATTCCAACTACACTGAGCTGAGTAACTTGTATGAGAAATATAAAGATCAAGGTTTGTTTTAGGCTTTTACTATCGTTTTGCCTTCCTATTTGTGCGTGTTTGTGTGTCTGTATGTATATCATTTTTTTACCTGGAATGTTTACATGGTTAAAAGTAATTTGATCAATGGAATTGTTATTTCTTTTGGATAAGTAAGATTTTATTATCCAAGAATAAGGTTCAACAAACAACCAACATCCCAAAGGGGTAAAAACCCCTATTTACAACAAAAAATGGATTAGACTAGACCCCAATAGGTACAAAGATTATAATTTACATTATCAATTCTATTGACATCTTTATCACTAAGTTGAATACGAACAAACTCTTTGACAGAATTAAGAACTTGGTCCGTTGTTCTTGATCACCTTTGAAAATCCTTCTATTTCTTTCCTTCCAAATCAAGTAATTGAAAGCGTTCCAAGCTAGTCTTAGAATGATAAAAAGTAATGATTTACCCTTCCATTTTTTAGCAGCACCTTCTATCCTTGAATCCCAAGTCTTGTGAGTATCACGTACATTGGAAAGCTTCGTGATGGAGTTCCAGATCGAGGAAGCATAGTTATAGTCAAAGAACAAGTGATTTATGGATTCGAGTTCTTCATTACAAAGGATACAAAGACGGTCAGTAGTTATTCCCATTCTGAAAAGTCTGTCACGAGTAGGAAGCTGATCAAGAAGAATCATCCAAGAAATCATGTTGTGTTTGGGTATATGAAGAGAAAACTAGAGTAACTTCTTCCATGGGACCTTGTCACTATGCTCCCTTATTTCTTCCCATATGTCTTTTGTATTAGTGATTCTAGTTGAGATAATTGGGAGGGCCTCTGTTCTTAGTTTAAGGAGTTTTTTGATGCTCCAGCTAAAGGAAGTACCCACATTGATTTCACTTAGTTCTCTGTTTTTAAAGACATAACAGTGAATCCAAGCAACCCACAAAGATCCATTTCCAGCAAGAATTTTCTGAATGAGTTGAAACATGCAAGCCTTATTCCAAGAATTAAGATCCTTCAAGCCAAGACCTCCTTCGGATTTTGGACAGCTTAATCTGTTCCAGCTGATTCTGGCACCTTTGGCAATTTTATCAGATTCCTTTCCAGAGAAAACGAGAGCATAGTTGTTCAAGACGATTGATAACTTTCTGGGGAAGAAGAAACTGCTGGCACCAGAAATTAACCACACTATAGAGGACAATTTTGATAAGCTCAAGACGACCAGCATAACTAAGAAATTTTCCAGACCAGTGGTGGAGTCTTGCTTTGATATTGTCAAGGAGAGGAATACAATCAGTTTCAGTAAGTTTTCTAGTAACAAGAGGAACACCTAGATATCTTACTGGCAGAAATCCTTGCTTAAAACCAGTGGCAGATTTGATAGAATCAAGAATTCTAGTTGAAACACCAGCAACAAAGAACTCAATTTTGTTGGCATTGAGTTTTAGGCCAGATAAGGTATAGAAGTGATTAAGAACACTGGTAACACCAACAATAGACTCAAGGTTTCCTTTACAAAAAATCAAAAGATCATCTGCAAAAGAGAGATGAGTGATACCTAGCTTTTTGCATTTAGGGTGGTATCCAAAAATCCCTTTGGCACCAGTGAGGTTAAGGATATTAGAGAGAATGTTCATAGCCAGCACAAAAAGAGTTGGAGATAATGGGTCTCCTTGTCTTATACCTCTCTGGCCTTTGGAAAAACCTATTGAAGTTCCATTAAAAGATATGGAATATCTAGCATTTCTGTAACAAGCTTCAATCCATCCTATGAAGGTGGATGGCAGCCCTATGGCAAGGAGAATAGAGGATATCAAATCCCAGTTAAGAGAATCAAAGGCTTTTTGAAGATCAATTTTGATAGCACTCCTTGGAGAAATGTTTTTCCTACCATAGCCTTTCACCAGTTCTTGAGCAAGAAGAGTATTGTCAATAATTGATCTTCCTTTCACAAAAGCAGTTTGGTTGGGAGTTATAAGATCAGGCAGCAGCAAAGTAAGTCTTTTAACAAGGATTTTAGTGATAATTTTGTATATCACTGATCAACAAGAGATGGGTCTGTAATCTTTAACTTTGCAGGGATTTTGGGGATTAAAGCAATTATGGTGGAGTTGAAGGCAGGAGGAATATTAGTCTCTTGAAAGAAGAATAGAATAGCATTGGTTACATCCTCCCCTACCACAGACCAGGAATTTTTGAAGAACATAGGTGTAAATCCATCTGGGCCTGGAGCTTTGTCATTACCTTGACTAAATAAAACTTCTTTTATCTCTTCAGCAGTAACAGTCTTAATAAGAGCAGATGCAGTCTCTGTTGGCAGAGAAAAACGAAACAAATTATTCAAGAAAGCAGGATCTGAAGAAAGAACATTAGGGTCAGAAGTTCCTAATTGATTCTTGAAGTAATCTATGATTTCATTAGCCATATCATCATAGCATTCCAATCTTTTACCCTCATTGTTAGTTAGGACCCTGATGGTATCTCTTTTGAATTTAGAGGCAATAGCAGAATGGAAAGTTTGGTGCATTTGTCTCCTTTTATCCACCTAACCTTAGCTTTTTTTTTTAAGGAACATGAACTCAGATTTTTCAAGGGCAATTAACTCCTTTTGGACATTTAATTCGTCTTCAAAAGAGTTTTTCCCATTAAGAGTTGAAATTTGAGCATTCTCCAGTTCTGTTCTCTTCAATCTAACCCTTGCCGAGATGTCACTAAAATTATCTTTGTTAAGTTTCTTCAGGCAAGGCTTTAAACGTTTAAGTTTAAAGAATAATTTCTGCATCGGGTGGCCTTGAGTAGGTTCCTACCAAGAGTAAAGGACTTCATCTAGAAAATTAGGATGTTTGGTCCAGAAATTAAAAAATTTAAAAGGCTTTGGTTTACTGATTTGATTTTCTTTGGAAATCCTTACCAAAGCCATACTGTGATCTGAGGGGCCAGGGGCTAGAAACTCAACAAAAGAATCTTGAAAAGAAGAAGCCCAAGGAGGGTTAATTAACACCATATTTTTCTTGCAAGATAATTATCCTTTTGCTTGTTGCTCCAAGAAAAGGTGGGGCCAAAAAAAGGGTGATCTTGGAGGAATAAGGACCAAGAAGATGAAAGTCAGAGCTTTCTTTGTAGTGAAGGAAGGTGTTGAAGTCACCTCCCAGAATCCAAGGAAAAGTTCCATACATGGAGTCAAGGTCTTTGAGGTGTTGCCAAAGAGATCTTCTATGAGAGCCACTATTACTGCCATAAATGGCAGTGATAAAGAAAGTAGTGGTATTATAAAGTCACTTAACAGTAATACTTTGATCATTAGAGTGGCAAGGGGCAAGGTCAATGCCATTCTTCCAGAGAAGCCAGATTCTACCATTGACAGCAGAATCATAATTAGTAAGGACATTTCAGCTCCCAAATAAAGAGTGAGATTTTTTCAGAATTTTCAGGTTTAACTCTGGTTTCTAACAGACAGAGAACATCAACATTATAGAGGTTAGCTCTATTCAGAACCTTCATATGTTTTTGAGGATTATTGAATCCTCTAATGTTCCAGAAAGAGATGATCATTGGGGAATAGAGGAGGAAGAACCCTATATAATTTTTCCATGGGAACTGTTGGTCTTGCTGATAAGATCTTTCTTTTTAATCTTGAGCTCTTTGATAAGTTTAGCTACCCCAGCAGCAGCAGGCCTTAATTTCCTAATTTGGATCTCAGAAGATGGTGAATTTTCATCCACTGTGGATAGGATTTCAAATCTGTTGGCAGAACCTCTTATAGCAGTTTTAGATTTGGTCTTTAGAGGTCTACCTCTTCCACGTTTAGGAATAATGATAGGATCATTAATCTTAAGGACAGGTTCAAGAGGCTGGTTAGAAAGATCATCTTTAACTGAGTCTTCACTAGTAGGAGGGATAGGAGGTTGATCATTAGAGTCTTCGATTGGCAGAGCTAAAGGAGAAAGAGTATCACTTTTAGAAAATTGATCATTATGATTAACATGATCTTTTCCTTTAGAAGCAGTCTGAATTATTGAAGAAGAAGATTCTGGCAGAGAAGTTTGCAGTGAAGGATCAGGCAGGGGAACTTGCAAAGTTTCAGATTTTTCTTGAACTTGAGGATCAGAAATGATATTGTGAGTGTTCTTTATCCTCCAGATTTTAGTAGTAGAGGGAGCAGAGGATGTTTTGGCTAAGCATCCTTTATCTGAGTGACCAAAAGTATTGCATCTCCTACATCTACTTGGAAACCAAGGAATTTCTACATAGATAGTAGTAGTAGTACCATTGGCTAGCATCACTTCAATAGTTTCAGGTATATCTTCTTTAGCCCCTATTTCAATACATACCTTAGCATATTCTAGCCTAGTTTTAGAAGCTGTGATTGCGTCCATAGAAAGAGGAACTCCTAGTGCACTGGCTATATAGCTTCTTTAGAAAACAGTTCAAGAGGAATATTAAAAAGGTGAACCCATAGAGGCAGTCTTGATAAATCGAAATTCAGCCTTTGAAGATTCGGTTCCCATTTCCTAAGGATTAAAGGTTTATTTAGTACATGCCAAGGGCCATTTTCTAGGACCCATTCCTTAGCTGATTCGAAAATGTACAAGTTATTTCCAGCAAGACTTACCTATACTCGAGCCCCTTGAGATGGGTGATTCCAAAGCTTTTCAATTGTTCGTTGCAAAGTGATGAAATTGGGGGCTGCACCTAGGAACTGCCCCACCAGTGAAGATTTCCACTCCGCCGTACCAGCTTCAAAGACCTCGGGAGGAGGCTGAACAATTAGGGTTTCTTTGTTCTGATTTGGGGGAAAGTAGGTAAGTTCTTGGTTGGGTTGGCACCCGAATAGCTTTCTCCAATCCATAACACAGAGAGGGAAAAAGAGAAGGAACAAATGAAAGCGTACTCAGACAGAAAATCGGAAGGAAACGCTGGCGACACGACGAGAAACCCAGGATCCGTTAGTCCTGCTAACGTGCGCCCAGAGAATCGTGCTTTTTAACTATTAATTACTAGCCCCTTTAGAGCAGCTTTGGAAATGGGGTATGCTGTCATACTGTTTTGAAAAGAAACTGGGTAAATTTATGTGAAAAAAGTGGAATTGTTATTTCTCTCCTAACTCTGTACGCTGTTTTTTCAGGTTTTGAGATTCTTGCATTTCCATGTAACCAGTTTGGAGGTCAGGAGCCTGGGAACAATGAGCAAATCTTAGAGTTTGCTTGCACTCGCTTTAAAGCTGAATACCCCATATTTGATAAGGTATACCATTTGGCTCTATGATGGAAGCACGGTTTGTTGTATATTTTAATGTTGTTCTGGAACTTCGAGACCATAGACGAATTGTGAAGCTTTCATCATAGCTTATGCTTAATGGTGTCAAGGATCAAAGATATATAAACAGACACTGATAAAGTCAGTCTCGAAACTGTTTATTCTGTTTGCCTCTGTGATAACGGTGGTGTTGTGGAAGCCTTTTTGATGCTTTAGCGAAATTATGAAATCCATAGTATCTTCAGCTAAGTTCTATAGTATCAGATATTCCTGTCTTCTCCATGGGATTGTAGGTTCTACGTTTTTGTTGTTGATTATTATAGTATTGTCGTGTTATTCAATTACAGGTCGATGTTAACGGTGAGAAGGCTGCTCCCATATACAAATTCCTAAAGTCTAACAAAGGTGGGCTTTTTGGGGACAGCATCAAGTGGAATTTCTCCAAATTCCTGGTTGGTAAGGAGGGCAATGTCGTAGATCGTTATGCTCCCACTACTTCTCCTCTTAGCATTGAGGTAAGGCCTGTTTATGGCATTCTGTGCCATTCTTTTTTCATATTCCAACTTAAACTACAAAAGATCACGAGACTTGTATTTATTTGTAAACTATCAACTTAGTGTGTGTGGTGGGTTGAAAACTTCTAATGGTTGCCATTTCTATTTGCAGAAGGATATAAAGAAACTGCTGGCCTGAACCCTATGACTGGAGGCGGTTACCTGATCACTTCAGAGAGTCGATAAACTAGATAATACTTTTATGAATAAAAAGACTATTCTATCTCTGTTTATATTTCATCATCTCCAACTGATGGGTTAGACTGCACTACAGTTTAGGAGTTGTACCTTACCTTTTATAATATTTTATTCACCATGGAAAAGTTCATCTGTCTATTTCTGTTTATATTTCTTCATCTCCTACTGAAGGGGTTAGACTGCGTTACAGTTTAGAAGTTGTACCTTTTATAATATTTTATTCACCATGGAAAAGTTCATCGGTCTTCATCCTTGAGTTTATTTTGCTATTAGCAGCAGGATTTCCAGCTTTAAGATGAGACTAATGTAGGATTCATGTGGATTTCAGTGACTTCGTAGGAAAACACAAATCCCCAGAATCCCATATTAATGATACCATACATTGGAAAGAATTCCGTTCTCATTGTTAAGGGTGAGTATTCAAATCGAATTAACTTTTTGTTTTCCTATTCACTATAGTAACATATAGCAATGCGGTATGAAACCACAAATGTCAGACCTTTCACCTTAAATTTGGGAGAATCAATTACAACATAACCTTAATGACTACAGATTGGCAACTAATTGTTTGCTGGAATTACCATGACCCTTTATATGGCATATCTACCAACCACATATTAATGTTCTACTCCAAACCACAGATTTTACAATATGCTCACTCACAAGTAGGGGTGCACAAAAAATCCGAATATCCGATTTTACGAAAAAAAATATCTGAAACCGGATTTGGGAAAAACCGGTTTTTTTTTAACCGGATCGGATTTTTTTAAACCGGTTATTTTAACCGGTTTGGAGAAAAAAACCCAGACCGGTTTTTTTACCGGATAAAAAACCGGTTTGAAAAAACCGGTAAAAAACCGGTTTTTATCCGAAAAAAAAAACCGGTCTGGGTTTAAAAACTAGCCGTTAATATAGCCGTTTGTGACCGTTTTTGACCGTTTTTTTCTTTAAAAAATTACCATTTTACCACCCTAAACATGTATAAATAGGTTGGGGATGTATTTGGTTGATTACAACTTTCTCAAATCTTATTACACAACACTTAAACATCTCTCAAATCTTAGTTTTGTAATTTTTTGTTCATCATGAGTAACACTGCTGAATCTTCCGTCGGGGGAAACCTTGAAGTCGTGAGAGTGATCGAACACACTCGAAACAAAGATATTTGGGATCACTACGATTTATGTGAGATGTCAAATGGCTCGAGGAGGGCGCGTTGTAAACTTTGTCTAAAGTTTCTTGCATCGGAAGGAAACACAACGTTGAAGAACCATTTGACAAAATCATGCAAGGCACTTCGCTCAAGATCGGATCCTAGTCAATCGAATCTTACACCGCAAGGTGGTGTTTTTGTTTACGACAACGAAAAATTACGAGAAGCGTTTACAAAGTTCGTGATTACAAAAGCATTGCCGTTCGACCACTTTGATGATGAAGATTTCACGACAACAATTCAACAACTAATGCAACCACGTTATACTCAAGTAAGTCGTACTACCCTTAGAAGAGATGCTATAAAAATGTGGCGTACGGCGAGGGAAAAAAAGATTTTAGGATTCCAAGAACACCGTTATGGTGTGTCGCTTACATGTGACGTTTGGAGTTCCCCTCATAATACCGGAAATTTTTTTTAGCCGTTACGTCACATTGGTTAGATCAAGATAATTGGCAAATGATGAAAAGAACAATCGCGTTTGAATTATTCGGTGAGCCGCATACCGGTGCTAATTTATTTACACTTTTAAAACGGATAATTTGTCTTTATAAATTAGAAAATAAAGTTCTTTCTATATCCTTTGATAATGCATCGAATAATACAAACGCGGTTCCAAGATTGAAAATATTACTTTCACCGATTTTAGACGGTGCGTTTTTTCATATCCGTTGCGTTGCACACATAATTAATTTATCCGTGCAAGTCGGTTTGGAGGTTATTGAGCCAATTAGATTAGAATTTAAAACAATGATAAAATCGATTCTTTGTAACAACAACAAAAGACTAAATGATTATAAACGATTTTGTAAGTCTGTTAATAAAAAAGCTTTGGGTCCTAATTTGGATTGTCCAACTCGTTGGAACTCAACTTGGATGATGATGCATACTGCCTTAAGGCAAAGGGAAACATTGCAAATATTTCACGATCGGCTTTTCGAGAGGGGTCATGTCCCAAACATTTATCCGGATTCGAGTTGGGAAACTATAGCCAAAATAACCGATTTGCTTGAGGTTTTTAAAAATGCAACAACTTTTTTATCCGGTGTTTATTACCCTACTAGCCCGTTGGTTCTTAATCAAATATTTTTGTTGGCTACCCGACTAAATGACTTTGAATTTGAAACCGAAGTTTTTCAAGAAATTGGCTTTGCAATGAAGGAAAAACTTTTAAAATATTTTAAGGAGATTCCCCCCATTTTTACTTGTGCCGCCGCTTTAAACCCAACGTTAAATGTTGGTGGGGTTGAAACACTAATTGAACAAATTGCGTTTGCTTTTAATCTAACCGATGATGAACCCAACTTTGTCCAAAACCAAATAAATTATTTTAACAAATGTTTTCGAGACATGTTTGCAATTTATTTAACTAAATACGGATCAAGTAGTGTAATACACGATCAAATGAGAATGAATGCGGAATCATCTAGTAGACGTCCAAGTAACATAAATTTGAATCTTTTTAACACTCTTGTAAATTCCCAATCCAAACGATCACGTACTACCACCCCAAGTAGATAGTTGGGAAATTACATGTCATGCGATTTTCTATCAAAAATGACATTTGAAGAGTTTGAAAGTTTGGATATTTTGGCTTGGTGGAAAGAAAAGGAAGCACAATTTCCGATTCTAGCCGCCATGGCCCGTGATTTACTAACCGTCCAAGCTTCTACGGTAGCTTCGGAATCCGCTTTTTCTGTTAGTGGCAGGGTTATATCACAACGGAGATCAAGACTAAGTCCCGAGTCGGTGGAAGTATGCATTTGTTTAAAGGATTATTTGGATGGAGCGGCTCGTAAGCAACATATCACCACCCTAGAAGATGCAATTGATGTCGATTTGGAAGCAAACTTACACATTGAAGAAGTCGAACTTGGAATATCCCCTCCAAACGAAGAAGGCGAAGATGATGAAGAAGAGATGGCAATGTAGTTTATTTTATAACTTTATTTCAATTATCGTAAACTTTGTTTCAATTATCGAACTTGAAGTTTTTAAGTATTTGAATTTATCGAACTTTGAAGTTTTTAAGTATTTGAATTTATCAAACTTGGAAGTATTTAAGTATTTCAATTATGTTGAGTTAATTAAGTATTTCAATTAAGTATTTGAATTTATCGAACTTGAGGTTTGATGCTTTCTCTTTGATTCTCTCTTGATTCTAGTTGCTTGATGTTTCTTGTCTTTGATTAATGACTTCTAAGCTTGCTTAAATACACCTTGAATCACTTCTGAACGTTAGTGATAATTAATGAAGATAATATAGCCGTTTAAGTGTGAAAACATTTAATAAAAATGCTTGGAGCATGGGGGAATCGGTACCCTCTCATAGGGAATCGGTTTCCTCTCATAGGGAATCGGTTCCCTAAGTGTAAAATTCAAATATTTCGACCGTTGAATAGGGGGGAATCGGTACCCCTATGGGGGAATCGGTTCCCTCCGAGCATTCTGGAAATCTCGGAGCCAAACCATTCAGTGAGGAATCGGTACCCCCTTGGGGGGGAATCGGTTCCCTATGAGCAATCTGGAATATTAAAATCGGTTTTTTTATAACCGGTTTTTTTTAAAAAAAACCGGTTTTTTTAAAACCGAAACCGATTACACCGGTTAGGATATCCGGCCCTCCAAACCGGTTAGAAACCGAACCGGTTATTTTATAAACCGGTTTTTTTTCTATGGGAAAAAACCGGATCGGATAAAAACCGATCCGGATCGGATTGAAATCCGAATTATGTGCAACCCTACTCACAAGCCACACCCATTGCCCCAATTGTGAAGGGGGAGGATTTTAAAATGACGATGCATCCAGTGGTGTTTAGCATTTGATGGTTATTTGTTCTTAGTATCGTCTTCTCTAACTTGTGTAATAAAAAAAAAACGCATTTGATTGAACATGCACTTTTCTAGAATTTCAAACATAAAATCATAAGATGACGGCAAATCCACGATCAGCTTAGATACATTAGAAGCAAGAACACTGGAGAGAATGAAAAATGCATATAATTGATTATTGGGCTGACAAAATGTACAGAGGGGCTTTGGCCACAAGAATCAATCGAATTAATGCAATGTTTGTTAACTGCTAACTGCTAATAGCTAACAATCGTTTATGAGGTTATCGGCCGTGTAGTGTATGGAAAAATTGTAGACTATCCAACTCAGCACGCTTTTTCGCTGCTCTCCTAGAAGGCTTCCGATTTTGCCACCTTAAACGATCTATCCCAATCCCACTCAGATGAACAAATACACTATTCTTTCCAACTGTCGGCGATCTTTGAGACTCAGATTTCTTCGATCTCATTCCTGGTTTTTTATGTCGCGGAGACGGGGTTTTCGGCTCCACAAATTTGGCGTCCATGTATCTTCCAAAGCATTAAAACAAGAACAATTATCAGAAGAAAGAAAACTTTAATGCTCATGCCCCAATAGAAAACAATGTTCCATTGACATACCTCTCATGAACCAATGAGGAGTCCAAAGAGGACACCAGGTGTTCACTCCCAGGCATACAAGCTGCACATATAAAAACCTTTGGTCTGAAAGTTAATTTAACGCATCTGACATGGTACCACTCCTCACATTGACTGCAAGCAATCATGGTTTTCTCATCATACGGCTTTCGGCAAATGCAATGAAGCATACTTCGGACTCTTAATACCTGAATTAACCAACAAATTTTATTATTATCTTTTTGAAGAAGTCACAAACATACTTGGTTGTATAAAGATGCAATTCGATACCTCAAGTTCCTTCCTTAAGCAAACTGGCAAACTCTCTCCCAGGCTGATAAGTTCATAAACTCCATCTAAGCCAAGTGCCCCAGAATCAGCTGCAACCTGTTAAAGGAAACGACGGCTTAAGTGAAGAGTCATGACAAAGTTTGAAGTAGCGTACACATGCAAACAAAGGATCCTGACCTTGTTGGCACGATCAGTCCACTGCAATCCGATGTCCTTCAATTCTGAAAGCTTTGATCTGAAGTGATCTTCAGGTAAAATGTTTATCTCATTTCCCTATCAGAAAACTATCTTTAGAAGCACAACGTGCGAATGAAAATGCATTCATGAAAAAAAGACATACACATCCAGAAAAGCCGATAACCATTGGTTTGCTGAAAGGAAAAAGTGGATGTAAACAACACAGTCCTGTGATATTTCTCCAAACATTATCAGTTCTTTCCCTTTTGACAGTCTGTACAGTATCAGCCAAGATAACTTGTTCCTTACTTCTAGAAAGCTAACTGACCAAACGGCGAAATCTAACGAAATGTGTGAATTTGCAATGGTTAATCAATAAGGATCTAGATAAGAAAAAAAACATGGTTACATCTTCAAGAGCGTGAAAGAATCTGCAGTGAGCAGACAAGGAGATTTAACAACTCATATTATACCACCTGGAACTTTATAACAATTGATTGTTGTTGATATGTTCATTTCATACGTCAAGTAACACAAGCAAAATAATTAGAGGAAATTATGTTAATAACTGAGGAATGTAACTTTTAATCATAAGTATCCGACTGCAATGGGCTTGAAAATTTCATACAAGGGACTCTATATCAAACTTGAAATGGTGGAAAGCCAAGCATTGTCAGTAGCATATACCTCTTTCAGGTTCCGGTCAATCTGTGGATTGAAGGCTTTTCTAAACCCTTCTCTAAAGCATCGAACAATCTAGCAACTCGGAATCTCCATGAGCATCTTGCCAATGCCAGCTCAAGATCACAATAACTTCGATGATCATACACACCTGCCACTCCAATGGCCTGTACCCAGAAATCAAATTAATTCGGATTGCTAATACTTTTCTACAGCAACAATACCTCGATGCCAGCAAATATCATTTCATGTCCAGAAAATAGTCTTAATAGCAAAATATATGAATGATAAAACAGGATGAGGAAAAGTGGGAAGAGAATCGGTACCTTCAAAGCAGTTGTAAGTTTTTTACTGACAAAAGTGAGCTGATCTTTATCATAGCAAGACATTTCAAAGTCCACTATCTCTGTCAAACACTTTTTGCAAGCATACGCTTGGTCCACAATTTGTTGTAATATATCTCTTTCGTCAATCCTGCAACATTACCCAAAGAAACCAATTCTTTTGTATTCAAAAATTGCAAAAGTCTATCAAAATGGTTTCTTTATTGCAGAAAATATCGACATTCATGTTCTGCAAAAAGTATAGAAGGACAAGGGCTTCCAGTTTATGTAAAACATTCAACATGAATAACTGACAATCAGTTTCAGGTGAAAATGAAACAATAAGATATTCGTTACATGCCAACTTTATTTTCCAGAACTTCAAAAAATAGGAACACAATACTTCAACTGAACATGGAACAAGGGTTCCTAGCAACTCTTTTGTTTAATTTAATATTTTAAAGCATTTAAATTACCACTTCCAGAAGGCAAAACGGTGTCCTGGTCTAAACCTCCAGAAGGATTTATTAAGCTGAATGTGGATGCGGCTGTGACTGCAGATTGGAGGAAGAGTGGTGTTGGGGGCATTCTTAGAGATCATGATGGTTCGGTGGTGGGCTCTTTTCAAGAGGCTGCTGGTCCAGGTCCTCCAGTTTTGTTAGAACTAAAGGCAATTTTGAAAGGGTTATCTTTCTTTGACTCGCTTCAGCAGCGGTTTAAGGAAAGGTTAATTGTTGAATCAGACAGTAAATTAGCAGTGGAATGGGTCAAGGACATCAACCGTTGTCCCTATGTTTACTTAGACATTGTGACAGCTATTGGTGGCAAGGTTAGTGGACTGAATAGTAGTATTAGATGGATTGCAAGGTCAGCCAATGTTGAGGCTGATAGCTTAGCTAAGGCTGGTATTGGGTAGATCTTTGGTTTTTAGTTGGGTTTCTATTAGGTTTGGGTTGCTTATTTGAATGATTGATTGTATGGTTGTTTTAAGTATCTGTAACTTGTGGTTATCAATGAATTAATGAGGCACTCTTTTCCTCCTTCCGCTGATTAAGGAGCACCGTGTGATCCGTTAATCATGAAGGGGGTTTTTAAAGAGGCCTACCTTTCCTATCAAAAAAAAAAAAATTACCACTTCAATTTTTTTTAACCAATGTACATGAAAGTTGAAACCCCCATACATAATTGATCATTGTGAACTTTTTTTTTGCAGAGATGAGAAGGCAATAGTATATTCAAATTTAAAACATATTGAAAATTAAACTTATAGAATACCAGACACCACAAAATAGCATTTAAATTTTCACTTGTATACCTTACACAAAAATTCTCATCCACAGATAGAAGATTAGAGAGAAGCTCCAAGTCTGAATACTTTCCATTAAGTCTCTGTGAACAGTGAGAGAAGCTGTTAATAGACATACAAGCTTCTACTAGAAGATGATTAAAATGTAAATGCATACCAGGAAGCAACCTCTGTTGGGAGGTATTAATCCACCCGAAAGAAGCTTACAATACGAGCATATATACTTCTGGATTATCTCTATATCCCAGGCATTGCAAATGGTAGCTGTTCAAAAAGAAGACACCAATAGGATGAGGACAGGAGATATCAATTACAAAGCATGCAAAATGAGGATAGAACTTGAATCATACTTGCATAAAACTTCAAACTTGATAGAATAAAATTTAGAAACAGACGAAGAAGGGAAAACTCTAAACACCAACAAAGACCTTACCAATCCTTGCATGCTGACATGTCACAAAATCCAAATCTTCGGAACCATTTATACAGCACATGTAGAGACATCGTCCTTCACAACTCTCGGACTTTTTGTATACATACAAAGATCTGTCTAAGGACTCTTTGATCTGTAAAAAACCAGAAAAGATTCTTAAAAGTTACCTAATAAGAAATCAAAGTTTGGAATACAGAAAGGATTATCTGACTAAACCTTCTGCAAGGCACAGAGCAATGAGCTCTCCTCTCCAACAGAGTTTTTTATAGCATCAATGCAGCGTTGCTTCCACTTCTCAATCTTTACAACTTCAGACAAGACCATATCTACTTCTTCACATGCGAAGAATGATGCTTTTCCATACTCCTGTGTGTGAAGTTCATAAGAAATCAAATCATCAGCTTCAAGCTTAAAAAAATATAAATTACACACCAACGCAAAAAAACATTATGAGTTCTCAAATACATAAAAGGTGAAGCAAGGTTTTACTAAAACGATTAGGAAACAACAAATAAGAGAACAACCAAATCCATTGTAAAATGTAATTCTTTTCATATTCATAACACGAATACAGTAATAGATAGGCATTCTATTTAATTTCTTGGAAAAAAGAGAACAGTAATTAATCCCACAACCACAAGATAAAACATGAAGCAAAAACAAAAAACTCATGCCTCAACTTTACTCATCAGACATCCATGGCATACCTCAATTTGCATTAATTGAGACCAGGACCGCTCCAACTCTAAACTAAAAAACTGATGCACTTGTTCCTGCCAAAGCCTACATTTACAGTTGAACACAAAACCAACAATCAACATAAATTGCATCTCTGGTATCAAGATGAAAGCCATACAAAATATAGTAATAAGTATAATGCACATAAACATGCATGTAACCAGATTTCACACCGCCTTCAATCAAAAGTTGTGGTAAAAACAAGAAGCAATAAAAACAAGAATATTGATACCTCAATGAAGTTAGTGCATACAACCTAAATCACCTAGACTCGGGACACGGTTGTCAACAAAATAAGGATCCAAGAATCAAGTCTCAAAATTCCGGACACATGGGCATTGTCCAAGTTTTGGAAACTGGTATTTGGACATATGAATATATTATTATTATAATATATTTAATACTTTAATAAATTATTTTATTGTTACATACATGCCAATAATTAATTCGATTTATAATCTAAATATTCATAGGTAAAACATTGTTACCATAATATATATACGCCTTCACACTTGCCATAGCTTCTTTCCTTCTTTTCTTTCTTAGCTAAAAGGCTTTATTTAGGCCAAAAGGCCATACACGGGCTAAAAGGCATTACGCAAAAAATTCTTTACTTATGCTAAAAGGCCCATATTGACGGCCCATAAACCTTTGCCATAATTTCTTTTCTTCTTTACTTTTTTTTCAGCAGATGATGTTTTCCTTCTGATCGGCCACCGCCACTGACATTTTCTCCTCAATCGCACTTCTTCTGGTTTTTTTAATTCTTTTTCTTTTCCTACTCTTCTCTGTTTCACCCACTGTAAGATCATGTCGACGCCAGTTCGGCACCCAAACTGCCGAGCCAGGGTAACATAGATTAATATTAATTATCTTTAACCTTCTGTGTCGTAGTAGCACTTTATTAGTGTTCTCTTATATTACATTCAATATTTATTTTATAATAAAATATTAATTAATTTTATTTTTTATACATTAAAATCAGGAAAAATTTTCCAGCAAGAAACAGACAAATCAGAAAAATGACATCAAAATGGGTGAAACCACCTTAAAGAGCTGATGCTGCAGCACAGAATTACAGCAAGCTCAGTGCTGCAGCCTGGGCCAATTAAACTACCTTGCAACAAATTACATTTGTTGGTTTCTAGGGCACAAAATAAGCCTATTTAAGGATAATAAACCTAAGTTTATGAAGAGAATCTATCACAAAAACTAAAAAGACCCAAGGAGAATTCAGAGAAACATTAAAGACTCGAGCACAACTTAGTTTTCTCTTCTCTTTACTCCTTTTTATTTTTTTAGTATCTCTTAATCAAATGATAGTTGAATTGTTTTTTCAATCTTGTGCTTATTGCTTCCAGTTGTTTGGCTACAATTAATAAGTTTTTCTAAATATTAATGAACTTTAAAAATGGAATTATATGTTTAGACATTGATTATCATATGTATCATAGTCATTTAGTATGATGGATTGAGCTGCATGTAAGATAGGAAAATATTTACATGTCATATGCAACCACCACTAGAGTCTAAGTTGAAGGAATTTCTCTTATTTAATTCTCAAATAGTAATGAATTAAAGGGATATTTTTGCTTGAGCTTAGGAAGAGTGTCATCAATCAAGAGAAAAGAGAAATAAAAAAAAACAATTTAATGAAGTGTTAAAACAAATTGAATTCCTAGGATTTTATCCATTATTTAATCAATTTTGATTATTTTCTTTGTTATTTATATGCTTTAAGTTAACTTAGTTTTATTAGATTGATCGGTTGTTCAAGTTAATTTTAGTACTTAAAAAAGGATTAGTTTAATTTCTTCATGGTAGCAATAGTTTACTCCTTATTAAGCTCTCCTATTATCAAAACGGTGTCCTGGTCTAAACCTCCAGAAGGATTTATTAAGCTGAATGTGGATGCGGCTGTGACTGCAGATTGGAGGAAGAGTGGTGTTGGGGGCATTCTTAGAGATCATGATGGTTCGGTGGTGGGCTCTTTTCAAGAGGCTGCTGGTCCAGGTCCTCCAGTTTTGTTAGAATTAAAGGCAATTTTGAAAGGGTTATCTTTCTTTGACTCGTTTCAGCAGCGGTTTAAGGAAAGGTTAATTGTTGAATCAGACAGTAAATTAGCAGTGGATTGGGTCAAGAACATCGACCGTTGTCCCTATGTTTACTTAGACATTGTGACAGCTATTGGTGGCAAGGTTAGTGGACTGAATAGTAGTATTAGATGGATTGCTAGGTCAGCCAATGTTGAGGCTGATAGTTTAGCTAAGGCTGGTATTGGGTAGATCTATGGTTTTTAGTTGGGTTTCTATTAGGTTTTGGGTTGCTTATTTGAATGATTGATTGTATGGTTGTTTTAAGTATCTGTAACTTGTGGTTATCAATGAATTAATGAGGCACTCTTTTCCTCCTTCCGCTGATTAAGGAGCACCGTGTGATCCGTTAATCATGAAGGGGGTTTTTAAAGAGGCCTACCTTTCCTATCAAAAAAAAAAAAAATTTAAGGTCACATATAAGCAGTAACCTAAATTGAGGGCTGTTACATGCAACAGAGCTAAATTTAGAAACAAGTCTAAGATAAGGGCACCTTTTACTTATATACCAAAATACTGAATCCTTCATCATACCTTTTGGTTACTAGAGTAGAAGTTGAAGTAAAAGCTGAAGATAAACCAAATTCCAAAAGAAAAATGTGTCATTCAAATGGAATGTTGTTAGAGAATTAAAAGACCAACCTATGTTTGCAGGTGGCCTCTGTAAGTTGGGCAAACATCATCGGGAAGGCGACATGAATACCCTGCATATGCGAAGTTTAAATGCCAAGATAAGCGGAATAACTATTCCAAATCCAGAAGGTGCATATGGAAGCTTTAAATTCCTACAAGCACATCGGAAATGCAGGATAAAAAAATACCTGATATTCAGCAAGCATCTCTTCAGCGTCAGTCAATTTGCATGCATTACCCTTTATGGGTGCAGAAATCACCTCTGAGACATTCTTGAGCCATTTTGCTCCATTAATTAATGAGCTCAACAAATTACTTGAAGGATGCATAATACAGAGGTTCTCCACGCTATTCATCAAACTCACAGCATCCTGTGAAACAGAACCCATCATAGATGCGAATAGGAAGAAACGGCACTTTCGAATATTGTTAAGCAATAGAACCTCAAGAAAAAGCACAATTTTTTTCTTTTTTTCGGGGGGGGGGGGGTACGCGGGGGTGCACCAAAACCAGGTATAATTCATAATATTCAATGTTCTAAACAACTAACTAGAACATGCAAAACAAAGTATCCAAAATTGTTACCTCATAAGAAGGCATCAAATAGCAGAAAGAAAGGACTTTATTGCACCAATGCAGTGTAGAACAAGCATTTTGAAGCTTTGGAATCTCAGGAAAATCCAGTCCAAGAGATAAACCAGCTTTTGTGATAGATTCAAGCAAGTTAACAAGATGTTCGATTTTCAAAATAAGACCATTGCTCCTACCATCCCCAATGTCGGTCACACCATACAGGCACTCCATATCTTGCAGAAGAGAATACGCATCACGCTGCCATCTCTTGCTATCTTCAAAAATAGTTTCCAGCACATCTTGCTGCTTAAATGTCATCTTATGATATCTCAACTGAGAAACCAACTCCTGAAAAATATAAAACCATCTTCTCAAATTTGTTTCAACAACCTCAGTAGATATGTCAAATTAAGGAATGATATGTACCTTCAAATCATCAAGTTTCAGCAAAGAACGAGATGTGGATGACTCAGAAAAATCAGATTCTAAAAATTGCTTGCTATTATTTAACCATAAGTTAGCCTCTGATATTGCAGTTTGGACATCATCTAATGAAGGCATAATAGCAACTATGTTGTTCGACATCCTAAAAAGAGATCAAATTCAGTATGATCATATGCAACAATGGAGCAATACATAGAACTAAGTGAGGTGAGGCATGGTAGCAACTGAACTAAACCTTATAAGATCCTCAAATTCAGACATCTGAGCTTTGCATGCAAGTGTATCCTTTGCTCTTTCTTCCCACTGCAGGGCACCAGCAAGTTCTCTAGACAAACTAAGAAATACCTCCTCTGTCTCAATCTGCAAACTGGGAGGGAAAAAGAACACCAGAATGAGTTAGAAGCAAGAAAAAGCGTAACAAAGGCAATACTTGATGCCATCGGTTGTGAGGAAAAATTAAGGGAGAAGAGTGCATTACACAACAGCATCTGCTAACAGTTGCTGAAGAAAGTCCAAAGCCATTTTTGTATTGCGTGCCTAAATCAATAAAAATATATGCTGTAAATATTAGGCAATTTTAAACATAAGATATCACGATGCATGCGCTCTGAAATACTAACATGTAAAAGCATAAAGAGAAAGGATATCATTACCTTCATTGCCTTTTCCCTGCAACAAGCCTTCTTCAACTCAATCTTCACAAGTGACAACTCATCGACTGTTTAGAGCAAAAAATAAATCAATAACAAAAGAATAGTCCAAAAGAACACCAAAGAAAATTTATGTATGGCTATTAGAAGAACCTCGAATCTTCAAAGACTCTCCATCTTCTATAAGGCAATTTAATTCATTAATAACACTTTGTTGATCCTCTCTCTGATTGATATTTATCATAATATCATTAAAGCATATGATCCAAAAAGAAGTATCAATCTGGTATTGCTTCAGAACTCTCAACTCCGGTATGTTAACACTGAAACTTGCCATTTCTTGAAGAAGCACTTCAACATCCTGCACAATTAAGAGTTCAAAGTACAAGTTCTTAAATATCCATGCACATTTATAAGTGGACACATAAGAGTGAAGTGACTACCTTTAGAGTCATGGAACCACTCAACAAATATCTACACCGGGCCTGATATGATTCAGCCAGGCATACAATATCAAAAATCATTTCTCTTTCCTGAACTTGGACCTGAAGCTCCAATATCTACCAAAAAATGATGAAATGTCATAAATAATAAAAAGATAATCACCATACTCTCAGGGTTTTTTTTTTCCTTCAAAGAAGAAAGACATTTTATGAGGTAAAGAAATTCAATCACCTCGGATTTTAACTTGTAAAGAATGTCAACCTCCACTGCTGCAGGCCGTTCATCAAAGATAGCTTTCCTTGCATTGTCCACCCATACCTGGGGTCATCAATGATGGAAGTGGATCAGGAATGACAATGGACATTCATAGAAAAAAAAAATTGAATGTTAAAGATATACCTTTACCAAAGAGATTTTCTGTGATAACTTCTCAGTTTGTGCTACATGGATTGGTGAGCTGCAAGCCCTTGAATACAATAACTCCAAGTCATCAATCTAGAATTAGACAATGAAAATATTAGTCAAAACTCAACATGATAGAGAAGAGAGAGTCCAGTCCAAACAATAAACTCTCTAGATAATAAAAAAACATTAAATTCATTGGAATAAGAAGTGGAAGCATGTTCAGAGATACCTTAGAGCACTTTGATAAAGCAGTATCAATGTCGTGAACCAACAAATTGCCCTCTTCAGCAAAATCCTACACAAAATAAACAGTTCTAAGAACTCGCACACAGAGACAAGATAAGAGATTAAGCAATGCTACACTGCTGTACCTTCAACTTGAGATATCCAGGCTCATTACAGGGAACAGGATCAACACTAAGCAATTTGTTAACCAATTTAAGAGTCACTTTCTCAAATTCACCTCCAGGAGACCAGTTTTCAATTTTAGAAAGACAGTCTCTTAAGCCTTGTGCCCATTTCCGAGCTGCAGTCAGATTCTTTACTGCATCCCGGACCTATATTACATGAAAAATAGTTGTTTAAGCTATCATTAATGTGCAGAATAAGAGCATATACAGGAATGAACCATATCAGGATCAAAGCTTACCGAATCCATCTCAGCACCAGCCCAGAGAAACTGTTCAGCTTCCTTTAATAGACTAGTACATGCATCACCATCAAAAGGACTCTGCAAAATCTTACACGAGTGCGAAAGCCATTGTTCTGCAAGTTGAGTATGATGGGCACCTTTCGCCTACATGCGTTCAATTAGTTATGTACCCACACAGCTAAACATCCCATCATAAACAGAAAGACACTAGACTGCTAAATGTCGACATTCAGGGATCATTCTCTTATTATTGAAACCCACTAAACAACAAACAATTCCAGTAAGAATTAGTGTAACTGTCTCTAAAGGAAATTTTCAAGGCAATGTAGGCAATATATGTCTACAACGTCAACCACCGAAAAGGGTTAGAAAGGTGTATTACCAGATAGGAATACTATGGCTTTACAGGGAATAAAGTAGAACATGGCAGGCCTTACTAAGGAATTTTCACAAATCAAAATTCTTGGTAGATTCGATTTCTGAACCCAATTGAAGAGTGTCCAGTTGAAATTCTAGTATTAATGGTCACCAACATGAGCAATAGGAATCATAAAGGAAACCACAAGTTAAACTCACTAACCAAACAAACAATTCCAGAAAGAATTAGTGTAACTGTCTCTAAAAGAAATTTTCAAGGCAATGTAAGGCCATATGTCTACAACTTCAACCACCAAAAAGGGTGAGAAAGGTGTATTACAAGATAGGATACTATGGCTTTACAGGGAATAAAGTAGAACATGGCAGGCCTTACTAATGAATTTTCACAAATCAAAATTCTAGGTAGATCCTATTTCTGAACCCAATTGAAGAGTCTTCACTTGAAATTCTAGTATTTATGGTCACCAACAAGAGCAATAGGAATCATAAAGGAAACTACAAGTTAAACTCACTAACCAAACAAGTATGTCAAGAAGCATTTCACAATAAACTAATCTTTACAGGTCCGATAGGACTCTTTGACTACTAATTTCCACTCAAACACCGTAAAAAAAACAATAAAGCTATCAAATTATTAAATTAAGACTACTCGACATTCACGGTATTAAAAAAAACTCATTTAAAACAAATAAAATAAATAGAGCGATTTTTACAAACATCAAAAAGAAAATGATAACCTTTTTTAAAGCATTTAGTTCCTTGGAAGATGAAATATTCCTTTGTAAACTATCATTTTGTGGTGTCTCCTCTGAAGCATTCTTATCCACCATAAGCACTAAATCTGCCAATTCTGCCAGTGTATAACGATAGAGAAGACGGAGTTTACTGGATTTACACTCACAGAGGTGTTCCCAATGCTGCATAATTTATTTTGAAAAAAGAACAGCAAAATCAGAATAGAAGGAATTAGCCTCAAAAATCCTTCATCAGCAAAATAAAATTCATTTGAAGTAAGCCTAGGAAGGGCACACTAACATCTGATGGTTGGAGCGCAAGCAGAATGCTTTGTATTATTAAAAATTCACTATATAAAAAAATGCATGCGGCTTTAAGTTTCCAATAACCAGGCATCAGGAAGCAACACCAATAAGGGCAAATACAGTCAGAAAAAACTATGCATCCTTAATTCTCTTTTGAAAGTAAAGGAACTTAATTTCAGAGTTTTTCTTTTTTTTGGGTTGGGGGTTTACAAAAGTAATAACAATTTTACAGAACAATTTTCAAAAATTTAGATGTAATAAGAATGCAAATGAATAAAGAATAGAAATTATCCATAAATTTAGATTACCTCCAGGCAGACAAAAGAAGATGGCCTGCAGCGGCAAACAACAGCAGAAAGATACAAATACTGCTTACATATAATGCATGTTGGATCCTACAAAAGCCACAGTGAGATATTGTCATGATCAAGTATTATCTTGCTATAAAGCATTGAAAATAAATAAATCCAGAGTTTTCCTCCATCACCAAGTACTACCTCTTCAGTACCCACAAATTCAGGAGATTTCCGAGGAGACATGGGAGATGATCTTGTTATGCCACTTAGCCAAAGCCTCTCCCTCCATGTCCTTTCATTTTTATATATTCTGAGCAATTCTGTTTTTAAATAAGTTGATGCCTTGCTATCCCAATCACTTTGCTAACCAAAAGAATGCAATAAAAAAATTAGGAACCATTTTAACTCTGACATCAACATTCAACATATGATAAATTTAACCTCATCAGTCATATATCCCAATTACTCTGACAACCAAATGATGCAACAAAAAGTACAAATCATTAGAGCTCTGGCATCTAATTCAACATAGGATAAATTTAACATCAGTCATTGGCCTCACATTCTTCTTGGTTTTATTTTTAAAAAATAGCTAAAAGAACATCAAACCATCTGTTTTATGATACTTATTCTTGAAGTAATGAATAACAATGGGTATGGGAACTTATACCTTGGCCACCACACAAAGAAGCTCCTCATGAGATAAAACTGCAGCTTTACGATATAACTGATACAGCTCTGCCCCAGACCCACCATGTGGTAACCAATCAGCAGGAGCAAAATTCACAGCCTCTGCACAATTTAAACCTGAAAAGACAAAGCAAAGTTCACTGAAAATAATTTTCAGGGCTGTGGATCATCCACTTGATGTCATTTTCCCAAGACTATTTTCTATTTCCATAAATCAGTTTGGGAAATTATCTGAATTTGGGGAGTATATCTCTTCCGTTTGGACTTGGGATGTCAAGTTCAGAAGAAATCTTCATGACTGGGAACTTGAACAATGGTCTAACTTGTTGGCTATCATTACAAATTTTTCACTCTCTTCGGAATTTCCTGATCGTGTGATCTGGAAAGGTACTGAGGATGGGTTTTTTACTGTTAGACCAGCTGTTAATCTATGTTCATTGGAGACTTTGGGATCGGAGGAAGTCTTTTTCTGGAAGAAGATTATTTGGAAAGGTCTACTGCCTCCAAGAGTAGAGTGTTTTCTTTGGCAAATCGCTCATGGGAAGCTGGCTGTTAGGACTGAACTTGTCAAAAGAGGTGTTCAAGGAATTGAAGATGTGTTGTGTCCCCTATGCAAGATGTCGGATGAGTCTCCCTCTCATTTGTTTTTCTCTTGTTCAGTGGTGTGGTCCCTTTGGAATAAGTTTTTAAGTTTTTGGAGGATTTGTTCTGTTTTACCAGCGGATGCTAAAAGCTTCTTTCTAGCTTGGGATGGTTTAAAGTCCAACTCTTTGATTTGGCCTTTTATTCCAGGGGTCGTTCTGTGGACCACATGGAAAAAGAGGAATTTCGTGGTGTTTGAAGGGGGAAAGTTTGATAAGGCAGAATTCTTCTTTTTAGCAAGGTTTAGGCTTGCTTCTTGGTTTTTAGCAAAGTATAAAGAAGTGTCTATTCCTAAGGACTCACTTATTTCCGATCCTTCTCTTGGGGATTTGTTTTCTCTACGCTCTAATCAGATTACACCTACTTTACTTTGGTCTCCTCCTCCTTTGGGTTTTGTTAAATTAAATGTTGATGCTGCCACTACAAGGGATTGGAAGAAAAGCGGGTAGGAGGAGTTTTAATAGATTCCTCAAGTTCTACTATAGGCTATTTCAAGGAAACTGCTGGTTTGGGACCTCCTACGTTGATGGAGTTAAAGGCTATTCTTATGGGGTTGTCTTTCTTTGCAAACTATTGACAAAGGATCAAGGACCGTCTGATTATTGAGAGTGATAGTAAGGTGGTTGTGGATTGGATTAAGGGGGATGAATTATGTCCTGTTGTATATGCCTTCTTGATTAAAGATATTGCTCATAGGCTTAATGCCTTTGAAGGTGTTGTTAGATGGGTTAATAGGACAGCCAATTTAGAGGGTGATGCCTTAGCTAAAGAAGGCATAGGATGAGTTAGTAAAGTTGTTGATGGTTGTTTAGGGTTGTTTCTTGATTTTCTGTGTTTTGTAAGGGGATTGCTATTGTTGTTTCCGCTGATTCTGTGTTTTTAGTTTGGGTGTTTTATGGGTGTTTACAGCTTATTTGGTTCTGTTGGGGTGGTTTGTTGGTTGTATTGTTGGTTGTATCTTATGTAATTTTATTGTTTCAATAAAATCCTCAGGCACTCTTTTCCTCCTTCCGCTGATTAAGGAGCTTCCCTACAAGCTCCATTAATCAAGAAGGGGGTTTTTAATGAGGCCTGAAATTCTTATAAAAAAAAGACACTAAATTATACCTTTAATTAACAAATGACTAGCTCGTAAAATTATGGCAGCTTACCCAAATTGAATCCTCCATGATAAGATCTAGGGAATGTAATGACAAAATTTCCTGGCTCCTAGGAAACAAGAAGCAAGAAAAATATTATACAAAGGGCAACTAGATCAACACGCAAAATTGATAACATAAACCAAACATAAGGGTTGTGTTACTAAGTGCATAGAAGGCACTAGTTAAGGTGATATTTATAGGAAACCAAATCTGTAATTAACATACTGCCCCTCTTGATTTTATTGAGAAGAAAACATTAAATGCCAAACTTCCTCGAAGTAGAATTTTAATACCCTAAACTAGTTCCTATAGGCACCGTTTAACCAGACACAAACAAAAGAAAAAAAAATACTTGAGAGAAATATATCAAACAGCCAACTCAAAGTTCATACGAAAATAAAAACTCATACATACCTAATTCCTAACCATGTAATAGTATAAATGCAAACTCAGAAAAATTCCATTGGAAAATTTCAATGAATATATGAAGTAAAAACTACATATACACATGGATTGCAATCATTGAACATCGAACTTAGCCTACTGAGTTATAAAGCCATGGCCGCCTTTAAGAAATTGAAAGAGTTGAGCAACCATAAAACATTAACAGTTTTCTTCATTCAACTATAAAATAAAAATGATGACAAAAAACCTGTAGCACACTATAGACTGGGACACCATTTTCTTGCAAGACAGATGGATTTAACATTGTAACAAGCTGAAAGAGCAAGTCAGGTTGCGCATCAAATAGATCAGGGAGACAATCCCGCATCACCTACAAAAACAGGAAAAGCTCAGCTGCGTTCATACTTCAGAAATCAAGAAAGAGTAATACTCAAATTCATGAAATGCTAGAGAGGAACCATGAATACATCAGCTAGGGTACTCACAAACTATTCACCAGAAGGAAAAACAAAACAGGTGAAATCATACTGCTAGTATAAAAAATATTTAGATGTCTACATTATATAAAATGTGAGGGGAGGGGGTACAAAGTAAAAAAGAAGAGTAAAGTCACAAGAAAAAAAAAAGGCTTTAAAGGACTCGCATGTCAAAGTGAAACGTATGACATTAATCTCTAAAACTCTACCTTCTCAAAAGCACTAGCTTCACTGCCAGGGACACTGTACCAGCATTTAGGTTCTCCCCTGAAAACAAAAACTATAACCATCAAACTTCACAAATGAAATTTATGCATGTATTCTGGAAAACACAAGAGGCACAGATCAACCAAAACCCTCAGAAGATTAAGAATATATAAATATGTATTATGTCCAGTTCCAATAAGGTATGTCAATATCATGCAAGTAAATTGATACATATGTGCACTGAATTATTATTACTTAAAATATTCTCCTCAGTCCTCAGTAATGTCTTGATTGCTTATAAAGGAACCTAAACAGAGAATTCATAGATGAGAAGCACAACAAGTTGTAAATGGACCAGACACTAATAGATGCATGAACTTACAGACACATCCAGAATCTAATGCTGATCTAATCTGAACCATCTTCCAGATCCTATAATAAATTCAGTCCTTAGCTTACTTTCATCCAGCCTCTGATGAAATACATCTGAACCATTTAACTTTAGATTGACATTTTGGCTTGCTATAAAGCACACGTCCTAGTAATAGGAATGCCCAGACAAATTTTATAACATAAATGCACAAATCACGTCTCAGTCGAACCTCAAAAGCAGTAACAAGAACGTCAACATGATCTACTGAAAAGACAAGAGCAGAAGACAATAAAGGAAACATACCAGTGAAGGTAATTCATTGAATAAAAGCAATGATCTTCAAAATGCCAACAGAAAGCAGAGAATAGCATTCCAATATACAGCCAGGGAACCATGACACCAGTAATATTATGATGAACAGCCCTCAGCATCGAACCTTTCAACTTGGGCAAGTTATTGAGATTCCATGGGCTCCTACAGTATTCATCCCAAGCGTTAAGCTCAACAGATTCTGGCCTCTGGTCATTTATACGTGGAAAACCGCTCCCATAAACAGAAGTATCCAGATCACTTCCATACATAACTTCCACTTCACCTGCCAAACCCTCCACAATCTCCCAAAACTTTTTCTCTATCTGTACCCTTGAAACACATCCAGATCCAAACCATTTCTTCTTGGCTCGATCAGCCAAACGCCTAAAAGCTTCCAATGTAAACTGTTTTCCAGGAATAAAACCAAAACTATCTTTGTCAGAATTCAGGCACTCAAAGCAGTACCAGTTACCTGGTGGAACCTGCTTCAAAGGTGGTGATAGACAATATATGCCACCCCTTATTACATCTATCACACAGTAGCATCACTTCCCCGTGTAACCCACTTCTACATTGCTCACATATCTGATCAAGATCTTCGTCCTCGACCTTACAAACCGTATCATTCCGATGGTCACTATTCTTCCTTCTCCTCTTGCAGCTATAAATTTTAACCTTCTTTTCACTCTCTGCATCCTCACTGATGCCTCTCTTGTAACTCTTTGCCCTCTCCTGACTCAACCGTTTATAATAAGTTTCATAATCATACAAATGCTCTCTATACAACTGACATAAAACATGCTTAGCACACTCTGAAATCTTCTTCTCCCAGGACCTCACAAACCTAAAAACCTCCCCCCACTTTTTCCCCTTCACAACCTTATCATAACCCCCATACCTCCTCACAGCATTAAACAATTTACACAAATCCAACTCCTCCCCTTCAAAAATCACACTCTTCTTCAACTTCTTACCACAATGTCCTTCCAAAAACCTATTATACTCTAACTCAAAGGTCTTTGAATCACAAGAAGCAGGCCGTGCCTGCAACTGGTGAATCGCTTGTGTTTTAGTAGGAAAAGTAAAAGACTCCACATTCAAGGCAAATGGAGGGCTCCAAGTCTTAGGTGGAACAATCTTACAAATCCCATATGGCTCGGCCTCTGGCCTGATCTTATAAATATACTCTAATGGGTCCCTGAACTCCTCTTCACTGGGGTAATAAACCGGCCCTGACTGTATATTCAATGACCCAGTGGATGAGACGCTCAAATTTTGCCCTGTTTCAACTGCCCTAGGTCTCCCCTTCCCCATCACCGCCACCACCTCAACTTGTACATAAAATCTAGACAAAACACCATGCATATCAATACGATCACATAACTGTTTTTGACAAGCAATAATAACAGTAACGCGTCCTTCGTTTCAAATATATGTAATAAAATTAGAGTAAGATTTTCTAGGGTTTTAAGCGTACCTTTAGCGGGGATTGTAAGGTTACCTTTGTTAGTGAATGATAAAACGAAAAGAAAGACTTGAGTTTCGTGGGAGATTTGATTCTAAAATAAAATGGGAATAAATGTTTGTTATTTATGAAAGAAATGAGGGCATGTGGTTTTACTAAAATAGAGCAAACTTTTGTTAAATTTACGAGATTGGTATTACGCTTTCCTGTGCTTTTTTATTGGAGATTGCGGATCTATAGTCGTAATTGTCGTGAGCATCTAATGAATTTTAAGGAAAATGAACACGCGATGTTGAGATTGCACGCGTTAGGTGATCGACGGAAGATAATGTTTGAGGGTGAAAACGATGGGCCAGATTCAATTCCGTGTTATTAAGAGCCGGTCTTGGCGACTGTCATTACCTGGTTCTTGTGCGCGTCATTGATATATAGTCAAAATTTTGCTAACTATATAAAATATTAATATAAATTGGACGATAATATTAAGTGATGTTAGCAGTAATTACTTTTTATAAATGTTTGAAGTTAAAAATGATAGCTCTATATAGAGTGTATTATGTGTTATTAATAAATTATAAAAATTTTAAATAGATATTATCCTTATAATTATTCTAAATTATTTATTATAATATATATACTTCTAAAATAATTATAATATTATAGAAAATAGGTTTGATTGTGATATTATTCTAAATTTATGATAAAAATAATTTTAATGATAAATTTACTATTATAATTTAATTTTAAAGAATGTTGCATGAACCAATTTACCTCAGTAGTTAAAGAAATCGTTATTGTTTCTAGATGTCACGGGTTTGAGCACCAGCGGCTACAGCAAAGTGATTATGTAACATCCCAAAAACCGGGTTAGTGACTAAAACGAAAGTTTTTGAAATTTGGTGATCAATTTTGGAAAAATCAAAAAGTTTAGGGACTTAATTGGAGAATCTTGATGTTGGATTTAATAGCAAAGTTTGAAAGTGGAAAGGGTATAAGGGCGATTTGGTAAGAAAATAATTATAAACTTAAAATGGTATTATATATATACAAGTGTAAGTGGGAAGAATGAAAAATCAAAGAACTCAATAAGTTTAGCTTCTCATTCTTCTTCCACCTTGAAGGCTTGGTTAAAGGTAAGTCGATCTCAAGTTATTTATTTTTTTCATTTTAAAGTTGGTTTTTATTCTTGGGATGATAAGAAAGTTTAAGGGAAGCTTAAGATGACTTAAAACTCAAAGATGAATAAGTTATGAAAGATTGAAGATAAATAGTTTATCGCGGCCGTCTTTCGGTCGGGTCCGGAATTGGGTTTCGACTTAGGGAAATGGTTTGGAGCCGCCACCGATTATTCATTTTAAAAACAAATAGGTTGATCGGATACCTTTATTTCTTACCTGATCTGCATCTTACCAAAAATATGTCGAATTTGGGAGTCAGTTACAGTCAATGAAGGGTTAGCACCCTTGAACTTCCCTTTCGGCACTACGTAATTTCCAGTTGTATTAAATTAAGAAAATCGAAAGTTTAAATTAAAAGGTAAAAATACGATCCCAAATTACTTACCTCCAATCGTTTTGAAAGTGTACCCTTAAAAGATAAAAATGTTAGATTTATAGTAAAGTGTAAAATCGAATTAAAATGAAAAATGCCTATAATAAAGAAAGGAGTTAAAATCAAAACATAAAAACCTTAAGTAAAAGCTAAGTAATAATAAAGAAGTAAATGAATGACTAATCTCAAAAATACAAATAAAATAAAGCACAATAAAAGGGAAAATAAGGGAAATAAAAACAAGATAAATAAAATAAGCAAAGCAAAGCAAATTAAAATAGAAACAAAATAAGAAAAAAATATCAAATCAAATAAAACCAGAAATAAAAATAAAAAAATAATAATAAATAGAAAATAAGAAAGAAAAGATAAAATAAAGCAAAACTGATATATATATATATATATGTAAATGAAATGAAATGAAAAGGATAAAAGACCAAAATATGTATTAATAACGTTACGTAAAAAAACAAATAATATAAAAATATATATGTATAAAATGATAATAAAATCGAATCAAGTAAAAATAATAAAGAAGAAAATATAATAAATAATATATATATATACGTAAAAAAATATTATATTAAATCATATAAAGAAGGAGGAAAAAAATTAATTGTAACAAAGAATAAAATAATAATAAAATTATATATATATATATAAGTGACTAAATTGGAAGAAAATAAAAATGTAAGGTCGAATTTAAAAAGGAGAAAATTGATTTTGGGGCAAAAAAATCTGTAAAAATTCGAGGGACTAAAAACACGATTCGCCCCTTTGCTACACCAAAACACGCGGATCCTACATTGGACCGGGTCACCCAAACTCAAGCCTAAATGTTTCATTTTCCATTTCAAATTCAAAACCCCTCTTCCCCCATTTTAAAATTTCTCTCTCGCATGTTCTTGGTTGTTCTTCATTTCTGTAACTAACCCAGAACGCGGTGGCCACCACCTCTCCGGTCGTCGTAGATCGACGTCAACCTACTAAAAAATGGCTTTTTCGATAGATCTTCTCCCACTCGTTCTAAAATCGCTTTTAGTTTTCCAAAATAGGCCTCGGGGGAGAGCAAATCTAAAAAAAAGAAGTTTCGAAATAAAACCTCTCCCTGGGTCCTTGATCAAACACCTTTTGGTTTTTTCGGAATTCAAACAAAGCGAGGAAGAGTGCAAGCAACAAAAAACAACTAAAACAAAGGTAAAAACTATACCTTTTTTATTCCCTTGCTTTTCGAAAGTTTAAAACCCTTGATTCGTATTTTCAGTGTGTATTCATTGTGTAAGTCGTAACTATTTCGAATATAAATGTACATGTATTTATAGTCTATAAAAGACCTATTTTTAGTTATAGATTAGAGTCTCCCTTGGACTAAAACACAGCGGCTGGCTGGATGAGAGGGATGCGACGCTATGGAGAAAACAAAACTAGGGTTTTAAACCCTAGCTGGACCGGTTCACGTTGGCCTGCTGGTCACCAGACAGGTCGCGGGTCTTGCTCAAGTGGTCTGGGTGTGCAGTTGGGTTCCGAGCTGCAATTTGGGTGTAACGAAATTAGGTGTCTTCATCTGTTACAAATTAATATATATAATATAATTTGTAATATTATATAATATAATAATATTAATAACAACAAACAAAATTAGGTGTCTTCAGCTGCCTCTCTTTGCTCATTATCGTGTAACGAAAATAGAGCAAAGATTAAAAAACATAAATTTCGGCCATATCGAACGTCCTCTATCATAGAGTTGAAATATGATATTAAGATTGGTTTGTCAATTTCGATTGAATCATAAAATAATTCATTCGCCGTGAGGTTGAGTTGAACTGGATAATTCTGAGCACGATATCCTTCGTTGTGAAGTTGAAACTAAACTCAAAGCTTTTGGCAAATAGTCCCTGAATCACCTTCTAGCTCAAGATACTTCGTTGTGTAGATGAAACTTAACCTGAAGACTTTGGTGTTATTGTGTTACAGATGACTCCTTCGTCGTGAAGTTGGGTCAATCTTTTGGGTATGATATCATTCGTTGTGAAGTTGAAATCGTAGGAAAAATAAGAAAATGACTTCTTATTGCCATTCTTGACCTTGGTCTTCTTCTCAGTTTAAAGACCTTGGTTTAGAAATTGGACTGAAAAATGTGATCAAACTTGAAAGTTTTTATTGATAGATAACCCTTCATGCATTGAGTTATGTTGAACTAAGCTGAGAGATTGCCCCAGATCTTATTTTTGACTTGAAGACCTCGGCTACAACCAGAAAGTAGTTTCTCGATGCTACCATGTAGTTGATGTGTCATCGAGTTGAATTGAATCAAACTCGATAGTTTTTGTTTGACAGATAGCCCTTCTCGCCTTGAGCTATGCTGTAAATTTGATATGTCTTTGAGCTGAGTGTAATCGCACTCGAAGGTATTGGTTGACAGATAACCCTTCTCGCCTTGAGCTATGCTGTAAATTTGACATGCCTTTAAGCTGAATGTAATCGAACTCAAAGGTCTTTGATGACAGATAACCTTTCTCGCCTTGAGTTATGTTGCACTGGGTTGGGGAATGAATCCCTGTTATTGCAGATGACTTTAAGTCAATCCGTTGGGCACGATATCCTTCGTCATGAAGTTGAAATCGTGGATGGCTCTTTCGTCGTGAAGTTGAGCTTTGAATTGGATATCCTTTATTGTGAAGTTGAAATCCAAGGATTGTTTCACCAAATCGGTTTTGAGTTGGATATCCTTTATCATGAAGTTGAAATCCAATCTTGAGTAAGTTTCACTAAATTGGTTTTAAGTTAGATATCCTTCGTTGTGAAGTTAAAATCCAATCTTGAGTTAATTGTGTCACTTCGAGTTCAATATCCTTCACTGTGAAGTTGAAATTGACTCTGAATGAAACCGAAAAAGTTGTTTGTTGACAGTCGCCCCTTCCCTGTGAAGTTGAGCTTTGAATTGGATATCCTTCGTTGTGAAGTTGAAATCCAATCTTATGTAAGTTGCGTTGTTTCAAGTCCAATATCCTTCGCTGTGAAGTTAAAATTGACTCTGAATGAAACTTGGAAAGTTGTTTGTCGACATATAGCATTTCTCGACTTAAGTTGTGCTGTAAATTTCCTCTAAATGAAGGATGGCTCCCCCTTCGCGGGCTTAAGTCAATCGTAAATCTTTGGATGACTCCCCTTCATGGGAAAGCCCAATGATAAATTCTGTCAGTCAGATATCATCCGTTATGGAGTTGAAATCTGACTTGAAAATGTTAACTAGAAGTTAACCACTCGTCATTTGAGTTGAGATGAACTGGATTCATTCTGGATTGGCTCTCGAACCTGTCTGAAATTGATTATAAGATCTTTCAACATATCAAGTTGGTTGAGGTGTAGCTACTCGCTGATGAGTTAAGCAACCACCATCAATTTCTGAAGGTGCTTTCGAATCGAGTATTTTTTTCTTGAAATTGAAACTTGACTCTGAAAGCTGCAAAAAATTATGTATGCAAAAAAAATGATGAATATGATGCTCTTAAGTATGTCT